CACGTCCATGTCCACGTCCCATGTCTACGTCCACGTCACACGACCACGTCCACGTCCACGTCCACGTCTATGTCCATGTCCAGGTCCACGTCCATGTCCACGTCCACGTCAACGTCCACTTCCATGTCCATGTCCATGTCCTCGTCCACGTCCACGACCAAGTCTACGTCCACGTCCACGTTCCACGTCCATGACCACGTCCACGTCGACGTGCACGTCCACGTGCACGTCCGCGTCCACGTCCATGTCCACGACCACGACCACGACCACGTCCACTTCCACGTCCACGTCCACGACCATGTCCACGTCCACGTCCACGTCTACGTCCACGTCCACGACCATGTCCACGTCCCTGTCCACATCCATGTCCAGGTCCATGTCCACGACCACGTCCACGTCCACGTCCACGTCGACGTCCACGTCCACGTCCATGTCCAGGTCCACGTCCACGTCCACGTCCACGTCCATGTCTACGTCCACATCCACGTCCACGTCCAGGTCCATGTCTACGACCATGTCCACGTCCACGTCCATGTCCACGTCCACGTCCACGTCCACCTCCATGTCCACGTCTACGCCCATGTCCATGTCCACGTCCACGTCCATGTCCATGTCCACGTCCACGTCCATGTCCATGTCCATGTCCATGTCCACGTCCATGTCCATGTCCATGTCCATGTCCATGTCCATGTCCACGTCTATGTCCATGTCCATGTCCACGTCCATGTCTATGTCCACGTCCACGTCCATGTCCATGTCGACGTCGACGTCCACGTCCACGTCCATGTCCATGTCCACGTCCACGTCCACGTCCACGTCCACGTCCATGTCCATGTCCACGTCACGTCCACGTCCACGTCCACGTCCACGTCCACGTCCACATCCACGTCCACGTCCACATCCACGTCCACGTCCACGTCCATGTCCACGTCCACGTCCATGTCCACGTCCACGTCCACGTCCACGTCCATGTCCACGTCCACGTCCACGTCCTCGTCCACATCCATGTCCACGTCCACGTCCACGTCCACGTCGATGTCCACGTCCACGTCCACGTCCATGTCCACGTCCACGTCCACGTCCACATCCATGTCCACGTCCACGTCCACGTCCACGTCCAGGTCCATGTCCACGTCCACGTTCACGTCCACGTCCACGTCCACGTCCACGTCCATGTCCACGTCCACGTCCACGTGCATGTCCACGTCCACGTCCACGTCCATGTCCAGGTTCATGTCCACGACCATGTCCACGTCCACGTCCACGTCCACGTCCATGTCCACGTCCACGTCCATGTCCACGTCCACGTCCACGTCCACGTCCACGTCCACATCCACGTCCACGTCCATGTCCACGTCGACGTCCACGTCCACGTCCACGTCCATGTCCACTTCCACGTCCATGTTCACGACCACGACCACGTCCACTTCCACGTCCATGTCCACGACCATGTCCACGTCCACGTCCACGTCCACGTCCACGTCCATGTCCACCTCCACGTCCACGTCCACGTCCACGTCCATCACCATGTCCACGTCCATGTCCACGTCCACGTCCAGGTCCAAGTCCACGACCATGTCCACGTCCACGTCCATGTCCACGTCCACGTCCATTTCCACGTCCACGTCCACGTCCACGTCCACGTCCATGTCCACGTCCAGGTCCACGTCGACGTCCACGTCCACGACCACGTCCACGTCCACGTCCACGTCCACGTCCATGTCCATGTCCACGTCCACGTCCACGTCCACGTCCATGTCCATGTCCACGTCCATGTCCACGTCCACGTCCATGTTCACGTCCACGTCCACGTCCACGTCCACGTCCATGTCCACGTCCACGTCCACGTCCACGTCCATGTCCACGTCCACGTCCACGTCCACGACCATGTCGACGTCCACGTCCACATCCACGTCCATGTCCATGTCCACATCCATGTCCACGTCCACGTCCACGACCATGTCCACGTCCACGACCATGTCGACGTCCACGTCCACATCCACGTCCATGTCCATGTCCACATCCACGTCCATGTCCACGTCCACGTCCAGGTCCAAGTCCCCGACCATGTCCACGTCCACGTCCACGTCCATGTCCACGTCCACGTCCATTTCCACGTCCACGTCCACGTCCACGTCCACGTCCATGTCCACGTCCAGGTCCACGTCCACGTCCACGTCCACGTCCACGACCACGTCCACGTCTACGTCCACGACCACGTCCACGTCCATGTCCATGTCCATGTCCACGTCCACGTCCACGTCCACGTCCACGTCCATGTCCATGTCCACGTCCATGTCCACGTCCACGTCCACGTCCATGTCCACGTCCACGTCCACGTCCACGTCCATGTCCACGTCCACGTCCACGTCCACGACCATGTCGACGTCCACGTCCACGTCCACGTCCATGTCCATGTCCACATCCACGTCCATGTCCATGTCCACGTCCAGGTCCAAGTCCACGACCATGTCCACGTCCAAGTCCACGACCATGTCCACGTCCACGTCCACGTCCATGTCCACGTCCACGTCCACGTCCACGTCCATGTCCACGTCCAGGTCCACGTCCACGTCCACGTCCACGTCCACGTCCACGTCCACGTCCACGTCCACGACCACGTCCACGTCCATGTCCATGTCCATGTCCACGTCCACGTCCACGTCCACGTCCATGTCCACGTCCATGTCCACGTCCATGTCCACGTCCACGTCCACGTCCATGTTCATGTCCACGTCCACGTCCACGTCCACGTCCATGTCCACGTCCACGTCCACGTCCACGTCCATGTCCACGTCCACGTCCACGTCCACGTCCATGTCGACGTCCACGTCCATGTCCACGTCCATGTCCATGTCCACATCCATGTCCACGTCCACGTCCACGTCCACTTCCATGTCCACGTCTATGTCCTCGTCCACGTCCACGTCTATGTCTACGTCCACGTCCACGACCACGTCCACGTCGACGTCCACGTCCACGTCTTCGTCCACGTCCACGTCCATGTCCACGACCACGACCACGACCACGTCTACTTCCACGTCCACGACCACGTCCACGTCCACGTCCACGTCCACGTCCACGTCCACGTCCACGTCCACGTCCACGTCCACGTCCACGTCCACGTCCACGACCATGTCCACGTCCACGTCCATGTCCACGTCCACGTCCACGTCCACGTCCATGTCCACGTCCACGTCCACGTCCACGTCCATGTCCACGTCCACGTCCACGTCCACGTCCACGTCCACATAGACGTCGACGTCCACGTCCACGTCCACGTCCAGGACCACGACCATGTCCACGTCCACGTCCACGTCCACGTCCATGTCCATGTCCATGTCCATGTCGACGTCCACGTCCACATCCATGTTCACGTCGACGTCCACGTCCACGTCCACGTCCACGTCCATGTCCACGTCCACGTCCACTTTCATGTCCACGTCCATGTCCACGTCCACGTCCACGTCCATGTCCACGTCCACGTCCACGTCCACGTCCATGTCCACGTCCACGTCCACGTCCATGTCCACGTCCACGTCCACGTCCACGACCACGTCCACGTCCACGTCCACGTCCATGTCCATGTCCATGTCCACGCCCATGTCCACGTCCACGTCCACGTCCACTTCCATGTCCACGTCCATGTCCACGTCCACGTCCACGTCCACGTCTACGTCCACGTCCACGTCCACGTCCACGACCACGTCCATGTCGACGTCCACGTGCACGTCCACGTCCATGTCCACGACCACGACCACGACCACGTCCACTTCCACGTCCACGTCCACGACCATGTCCACGTCCACGTCCACGTCCACGTCCATGTCCACGTCCACGTCCACGTTCTCGTCCACGACCATGTCCACGTCCATGTCCACGTCCACGTCCAGGTCACGTCCACGACCATGTCCACGTCCATGTCCACGTCCACGTCCAGGTCCATGTCCACGACCATGTCCACGTCCACGTCCTCGTCCACGTCCATGTCCACGTCCACGTCCATGTCCACGTCCACGTCCACGTCCACATCCACGTCCACGTCCATGTCCACGTCGACGTCGACGTCCACGTCCACGTCCACGTCCATGTCCACGTCCACGTCCACGTCCACGTCCATGTCCACGTCCACATCCACGTACTCGTCCATGTCCACGACCATGTCCACGTCCACGTCCATGTCCACGTCCACGTCCACATCCTTGTCCACGTCCACGTCCATGTCCACGTCCACGTCCATGTCCACTTCCAGGTCCACGTCCACGTCCATGTCCACGTCCACGTCCACGTCCATGTCCACGTCCAGGTCCACGTCCACGTCCAGGTCCATGTCCACGTCCACGTCCATGTCCACGTCACGTCCACGTCCATATCCATGTCCACGTCCATGTCGACGTCCACGTCCACGTCCACGTCCATGTCCACGTCCACGTCCACGTCCATGTCCACGTCCACGTCCACGTCCACGTCGAGGTCCATGTACACGACCATGTCCACGTCCATGTCCACGTCCATGTTCACGTCCACGTCGACGTCCACGTCCACGTCCACGTCCATGTCCACGTCCACGTCCACGTCCACTTCCATGTCCACGTCCATGTCCACGTCCACGTCCACGTCCATGTCCACGTCCACGTCCACTTCCATGTCCACATCCATGTCCACGTCCACGTCCACGTCCACGTCTACGTCCACGTTCACGTCCACGTCCACGACCACGTCCATGTCGACGTGCACGTTCACGTGCACGTCCACGTCCACGTCCATGTCCACGACCACGACCACGTCCACTTCCACGTCCACGTCCACGACCATGTCCACGTCCACGTCCACGTCCACGTCCATGTCCACATCCACGTCCACGTCCACGACCATGTCCACGTCCATGTCCACATCCACGTCCAGGTCCATGTCCACGACCATGTCCACGTCCATGTTCACGTCCACGTCGACGTCCACGTCCACGTCCACGTCCATGTCCACGTCCACGTCCACGTCCACTTCCATGTCCACGTCCATGTCCACGTCCACGTCCACGTCCATGTCCACGTCCACGTCCACGTCCACTTCCATGTCCACATCCATGTCCACGTCCACGTCCACGTCCACGTCTACGTCCACGTTCACGTCCACGTCCACGACCACGTCCATGTCGACGTGCACGTTCACGTGCACGTCCACGTCCACGTCCATGTCCACGACCACGACCACGTCCACTTCCACGTCCACGTCCACGACCATGTCCACGTCCACGTCCACGTCCACGTCCATGTCCACATCCACGTCCACGTCCACGACCATGTCCACGTCCATGTCCACATCCACGTCCAGGTCCATGTCCACGACCATGTCCACGTCCACGTCCTCGTCCACGTCCATGTCCACGTCCACGTCCATGTCCACGTCCACGTCCACGTCCACGTCCACATCCACGTCCACGTCCTTGTCCACGTCGACGTCCACGTCCACGTCCACGTCCACGTCCATGTCCACTTCCACGTCCATGTTCACGACCACGACCACGTCCACTTCCACGTCCATGTCGACGACCATGTCCACGTCCACGTCCACGTCCACGTCCACGTCCATGTCCACCTCCACGTCCACGTCCACGTCCACGTCCATCACCATGTCCACGTCCATGTCCACGTCCACGTCCAGGTCCAAGTCCACAACCATGTCCACGTCCACGTCCACGTCCATGTCCACGTCCACGTCCATTTCCACGTCCACGTCCACGTCCACGTCCACGTCCATGTCCACGTCCAGGTCCACGTCGACGTCCACGTCCACGACCACGTCCACGTCCACGTCCACGTCCACGTCCATGTCCATGTCCATGTCCACGTCCACGTCCACGTCCACGTCCATGTCCATGTCCACGTCCATGTCCACGTCCACGTCCATGTTCACGTCCACGTCCACGTCCACGTCCACGTCCATGTCCACGTCCACGTCCACGTCCACGTCCATGTCCACGTCCACGTCCACGTCCACGACCATGTCGACGTCCACGTCCACATCCACGTCCATGTCCATGTCCACATCCATGTCCACGTCCACGTCCACGACCATGTCCACGACCACGACCATGTCGACGTCCACGTCCACATCCACGTCCATGTCCATGTCCACATCCACGTCCATGTCCACGTCCACGTCCAGGTCCAAGTCCGCGACCATGTCCACGTCCACGTCCACGTCCATGTCCACGTCCACGTCCATTTCCACGTCCACGTCCACGTCCACGTCCACGTCCATGTCCACGTCCAGGTCCACGTCCACGTCCACGTCCACGTCCACGACCACGTCCACGTCCACGTCCACGACCACGTCAACGTCCATGTCCATGTCCATGTCCACGTCCACGTCCACGTCCACGTCCACGTCCATGTCCATGTCCACGTCCATGTCCACGTCCACGTCCACGTCCATGTCCACGTCCACGTCCACGTCCACGTCCATGTCCACGTCCACGTCCACGTCCACGACCATGTCGACGTCCACGTCCACATCCACGTCCATGTCCATGTCCACATCCACGTCCATGTCCACGTCCACGTCCAGGTCCAAGTCCACGACCATGTCCACGTCCACGTCCACGTCCATGTCCACGTCCACGTCCATTTCCACGTCCACGTCCACGTCCACGTCCATGTCCACGTCCAGGTCCACGTCCACGTCCACGTCCACGACCACGTCCACGTCCACGTCCACGACCACGTCCACGTCCATGTCCATGCCCATGTCCACGTCCACGTCCACGTCCACGTCCACGTCCATGTCCATGTCCACGTCCATGTCCACGTCCACGTCCACGTCCATGTTCACGTCCACGTCCACGTCCACGTCCACGTCCATGTCCACGTCCACGTCCACGTCCACGTCCATGTCCACGTCCACGTCCATGTCCACGACCATGTCGACGTCCACGTCCACATCCACGTCCATGTCCATGTCCACATCCATGTCCACGTCCACGTCCACGTCCACTTCCATGTCCACGTCTATGTCCACGTCCACGTCCTCGTCCACGTCCACGTCTATGTCTTCGTCCACGTCCACGACCACGTCCACGTCGACGTCCACGTCCACGTCTTCGTCCACGTCCACGTCTATGCCCACGACCACGACCACGACCACGTCTACTTCCACGTCCACGACCATGTCCACGTCCACGTCCACGTCCACGTCCACGTCCATGTCCACGTCCACGTCCACGTCCACGTCCACGACCATGTCCACGTCCAGGTCCACGTCCACGACCATGTCCACGTCCACGTCCATGTCCACGTCCACGTCCATTTCCACGTCCACGTCCACGTCCACGTCCACGTCCATGTCCACATAGACGTCGACGTCCACGTCCACGTCCACGTCCACGTCCACGACCACGTCCACGTCCACGTCCACGACCACGTCCATGTCCACGTCCACGTCCACGTCCACGTCCATGTCCATGTCCATGTCCATGTCGACGTCCACGTCCACATCCATGTTCACGTCAACGTCGACGTCCACGTCCACGTCCACGTCCATGTCCACGTCCACGTCCACTTTCATGTCCACGTCCATGTCCACGTCCACGTCCACGTCCATGTCCACGTCCACGTCCACGTCCACGTCCATGTCCACGTCCACGTCCACGTCCATGTCCACGTCCACGTCCACGTCCACGACCACGTCCACGTCCACGTCCACGTCCATGTCCATGTCCATGTCCACGCCCATGTCCACGTCCACGTCCACGTCCACTTCCATGTCCACGTCCATGTCCACGTCCACGTCCACGTCCACGTCTACGTCCACGTCCACGTCCACGTCCACGACCACGTCCATGTCGACGTCCACGTCCACGTGCATGTCCACGTCCATGTCCACGACCACGACCACGTCCACTTCCACGTCCACGTCCACGACCATGTCCACGTCCACGTCCACGTCCACGTCCACGTCCATGTCCACGTCCACGTCCACGTTCTCGTCCACGACCATGTCCACGTCCATGTCCACGTCCACGTCCAGGTCACGTCCACGACCATGTCCACGTCCATGTCCACGTCCACGTCCAGGTCCATGTCCACGACCATGTCCACGTCCACGTCCTCGTCCACGTCCATGTCCACGTCCACGTCCATGTCCACGTCCACGTCCACGTCCACATCCACGTCCACGTCCATGTCCACGTCGACGTCCACGTCCACGTCCACGTCCACGTCCATGTCCACGTCCACGTCCACGTCCACGTCCACGTCCATGTCCACGTCCACATCCACGTACTCGTCCATGTCCACGACCATGTCCACGTCCACGTCCATGTCCACGTCCACGTCCACATCCTTGTCCACGTCCACGTCCATGTCCACGTCCACGTCCATGTCCACTTCCAGGTCCACGTCCACGTCCATGTCCACGTCCACGTCCACGTCCATGTCCACGTCCAGGTCCACGTCCACGTCCAGGTCCATGTCCACGTCCACGTCCACGTCCACGTACATGTCCACGTCCACGTCCACGTCCACGTCCACGTCCACGTCCACGTCCAGGTCCATGTCCACGTCCAGGTCCACGTCCACGTCCACGTCCATGTCCACGTCCACGTCCACGTCCACGTCGAGGTCCATGTACACGACCATGTCCACGTCCATGTCCACGTCCATGTTCACGTCCACGTCGACGTCCACGTCCACGTCCACGTCCATGTCCACGTCCACGTCCAAGTCCACTTCCATGTCCACGTCCATGTCCACGTCCACGTCCACGTCCATGTCCACGTCCACGTCCACGTCCACTTCCATGTCCACATCCATGTCCACGTCCACGTCCACGTCCACGTCTACGTCCACGTTCACGTCCACATCCACGACCACGTCCATGTCGACGTGCACGTTCACGTGCACGTCCACGTCCACGTCCATGTCCACGACCACGACCACGTCCACTTCCACGTCCACGTCCACGACCATGTCCACGTCCACGTCCACGTCCACGTCCATGTCCACATCCACGTCCACGTCCACGACCATGTCCACGTCCATGTCCACGTCCACGTCCAGGTCCATGTCCACGACCATGTCCACGTCCACGTCCTCGTCCACGTCCATGTCCACGTCCACGTCCATGTCCACGTCCACGTCCACGTCCACGTCCACATCCACGTCCACGTCCATGTCCACGTCGACGTCCACGTCCACGTCCACGTCCACGTCCACGTCCATGTCCACGTCCACGTCCACGTCCACGTCCACGTCCATGTCCACGTCCACGTCCACATCCAGGTCCATGTCCACGACCATGTCCACGTCCACGTCCATGTCCACGTCCACGTCCACGTCCACATCCTTGTCCACGTCCACGTCCATGTCCACGTCCACGTCCATGTCCACTTCCACGTCCACGTCCACGTCCATGTCCACGTCCACATCCACGTCCATGTCCACGTCCAGGTCCACGTCCACGTCCAGGTCCATGTCCACGTCCACGTCCACGTCCATGTCCACGTCCACGTCCACGTCCACATCCATGTCCACGTCCATGTCGACGTCCACGTCCACGTCCACGTCCATGTCCACGTCCACGTCCACGTCCATGTCCACGTCCACGTCCACGTCCACGTTGAGGTCTATGTACACGACTATGTCCACGTCCACGTCCACGTCCATGTCTACGTCCACGTCCATGTCCACGTCCACGTCCATGTCCACGACCACGTCCACGTCCACGTCCACGTCCACGTTCACGTCCATGTCCACGTCCATCTCCACGTCCACGTCCACGTCCACGTCCATGTCTATGTCCACGTCCATGTCCACGTCCACGTCCAGGTCCATGTCCACGTCCACGTCCACGTCCACGTCAATGTCCACGTCCACGTCAACGTCCACGTCCGCGTCCACTTCCATGTCCACATCCATGTCCACGTCCACGTCCACGTCGACGTCCATGTCCACGTCCACGTCCACGTCCATGTCCACGTCCACGTCCACGTCCACGTCCACGTCCATGTCCACGTCCACATCCACGTCCACGACCACGTCCACGTCCACGTCCATGTCCATGTCCACGTCCATGTCCACGTCCACGTCCACGTCCATGTCCACGTCCATGTCCACGTCCACGTCCACGTCCACGTCACTGTCCACGTCCATGCCATGTCCACGTCCACGTCCATGTCCACGTCCACGTCCACCTCGACGTCCACATCCACGACCATGTCCACGTCGACGTCCACGTCCACTTCCACGTCCATGTCCACGCCAACGTCCACGTCCACGTCCACGTCCACGTCCATGTCCACGTCCACGTCCATGTCCATGTCCACGTCCATGTCCACGTCCACGTCCACATCCATGTCCACATCCACGTCCACGTCCACGTCCATGTCCACGTCTACGTCCACGTCCACGTCCACTTCCATGTCCATGTCCATGTCCACGTCCACGTCCATGTCCACGTCCACGTCCACGTCCACATCCATGTCCACGTCCACGTCCATGTCCACGTCCACGTCCATGTCCACAACCACGTCCACGTCCACGTCCATGTCCACGTCCATGTCCACGACCACGTCCACGACCATGTCCACGTCCACGTCCATGTTCACGTCCACGTCGACGTCCACGTCCACGTCCATGTCCATGTCCACGTCCACGTCCACGTCCACTTCCATGTCCACGTCCATGTCCACGTCCACGTCCACGTCCATGTCCACGTCCACGTCCACGTCCACTTCCATGTCCACATCCATGTCCACGTCCACGTCCACGTCTACGTCCACGTCCACGTCCACGACCACGTCCATGTCGACGTGCACGTTCACGTGCACGTCCACGTCCACGTCCATGTCTACGACCACGACCACGACCACGTCCACTTCCACGTCCACGTCCACGACCATGTCCACGTCCACGTCCACGTCCACGTCCATGTCCACATCCACGTCCACGTCCACGTCCACGACCATGTCCACGTCCATGTCCACGTCCACGTCCAGGTCCATGTCCACGACCATGTCCACGTCCACGTCCTCGTCCACGTCCATGTCCACGTCCACGTCCATGTCCACGTCCACGTCCACGTCCACGTCCACATCCACGTCCACGTCCATGTCCACGTCGACGTCCACGTCCACGTCCACGTCCATGTCCACGTCCACGTCCACGTCCACGTCCATGTCCACGTCCACGTCCACGTCCAGGTCCATGTCCACGACCATGTCCACGTCCACGTCCATGTCCACGTCCACGTCCACGTCCAGATCCTTGTCCACGTCCACGTCCATGTCCACGTCCACGTCCATGTCCACTTCCACGTCCACGTCCACGTCCATGTCCACGTCCACATCCACGTCCATGTCCACGTCCAGGTCCACGTCCACGTCCAGGTCCATGTCCACGTCCACGTCCACGTCCATGTCCACGTCCACGTCCACGTCCACATCCATGTCCACGTCCATGTCGACGTCGACGTCCACGTCCATGTCCATGTCCACGTCCACGTCCACGTCCATGTCCACGTCCACGTCCACGTCCACGTCCACGTCGAGGTCCATGTACACGACCATGTCCACGTCCACGTCCACGTCCATGTCTACGTCCACGTCCATGTCCACGTCCACGTCCACATTCACGTCCACGTCCATGTCCACGTCGACGTCCACGTCCACGTCCATGTCCACGTCCACGTCCATGTCCACGTCCACGTCCACGTCCACGTTGAGGTCTATGTACACAACCATGTCCACGTCCACGTCCACGTCCATGTCGACGTCCACGTCCATGTCCACGTCCACGTCCACGTCCACGTCCACGTCCATGTCCACGTCCACGTCCACGTCCACGTTGAGGTCTATGTACACGACCATGTCCACATTCAGATTCACGTCCACGTCCATGTCGACGTCCACGTCCACGTCCACGTCCATGTCCACGTCCACGTCCACGTCCATGTCCACGTCCACGTCCACGTCCACGTTGAGGTCTATGTACACGACCATGTCCACGTCCACGTCCACGTCCATGTCTACGTCCACGTCCATGTCCACGTCCACGTCCACGTCCACGACCACGTCCACGTCCACGTCCACGACCACGTCCATGTCCACGTCCATGTCCACGTCCACGTCCAGGTCCATGTCCACGTCCACGTCCACGTCAACGTCCACGTCCACGTCAACGTCCACGTCCGCGTCCACTTCCATGTCCACATCCATGTCCACGTCCACGTCCACGTCGACGTCCATGTCCACGTCCACGTCCACGTCGACGTCCATGTCCACGTCCACGTCCACGTCCACGTCCACGTCCATGTCCACGTCCACGTCCACGTCCACGACCACGTCCACGTCCACGTCCATGTCCATGTCCACGTCCATGTCCACGTCCACGTCCACGTCCATGTCCACGTCCATGTCCACGTCCACGTCCACGTCACTGTCCACGTCCATGCCATGTCCACGTCCACGTCCATGTCCACGTCCACGTCCACCTCCACGTCCACATCCACGACCATGTCCACGTCGACGTCCACGTCCACTTCCACGTCCATGTCCACGCCAACGTCCACGTCCACGTCCACGTCCACGTCCATGTCCATGTCCACGTCCACGTCCATGTCCATGTCCACGTCCATGTCCACCTCCACGTCCACATCCATGTCCACATCCACGTCCACGTCCACGTCCATGTCCACGTCCACGTCCACGTCCACTTCCATGTCCATGTCCATGTCCACGTCCACGTCTATGTCCACGTCCACGTCCACGTCCACATCCATGTCCACGTCCACGTCCATGTCCACGTCCACGTCCACGTCCACAACCACGTCCACGTCCACAACCACGTCCACGTCCACGTCCACGTCCACGTCCATGTCCAAGTCCATGTCCACGTCGACGACCATGTCCATTTCCACGTCCACGTCCACGTCCACGACCATGTCCACGTCCACGTCCTCGTCCATGTCCACGTCCACGTCCACGTCCACGTCCACGTCCACTTCCATGTCCACGTCCATGTCCACGTCCACTTCCACGTCCACGTCTACGTCCACGTCCACGTCCACGTCCACGTCCACGTCCACGTCCATGTCCACGTCCATGTCCACGTCCACGTCCATGTCCACGTCCACGTCCACGTCCACGTCCACGTCCACGTCCACGTCCATGTCCACGTCCATGTCCACGTCCATGTCCACGTCCATGTCCACGTCCATGTCCACGTCCACGACCATGTCCATGTCCACGTCCACGTCCACGTCCACGACCATGTCCACGTCCACGTCCACGTCCACGTCCACGTCCATGTCCACGTCCACGTCCACGTCCACGTCCAGGTCCACGTCCACGACCATGTCCACGTCCACGTCCACGTCCATGTCCACGTCCACGTCCATTTCCACGTCCACGTCTACGTCCACGTCCACGTCCATGTCCACGTCGACGTCGACGTCCACGTCCACGTCTACGACCACGTCCACGTCCACGTCCACGACCACGTCCACGTCCATGTCCCTTTTCATGTCCACGTCCACGTCCACGTCCACGTCCATGTCCACGTCCATGTCCACGTCTACGTCCACGTCCATGTTCACGTCCACGTCGACGTCGACGTCGACGTCCACGTCCATGTCCACGTCCATGTCCACGTCCACGTCCACGTCCATGTCCACGTCCACGTCCACGTCCACGACCATGTCCACGTCCACGTCCTCGTCCACGTCCATGTCCATGTCTACGTCCATGTCCACGTCCACGTCCACGTCCACTTCCATGTCCACGTCCATGTCCACGTCCACTTCCACGTCCACGTCTACGTCCACGTCCACGTCCACGTCCACGACGACGTCCACGTCGACGTCCACGTCCACGTCCACGTCCACGTCAACGTCCAGGTCCACGTCCACGACCATGTCCACGTCCACGTCCACGTCCACGTCCACGTCCATTTCCACGTCCACCTCCACGTCCACGTCCACGTCCACGTCCACGTCCATTTCCACGTCCACCTCCACGTCCACGTCCACGTCCATGTCCACGTCGACGTCGACGTCCACGTCCACGTCCACGTCCACGACCACGTCCACGTCCACGTCCACGACCACGTCCACGTCCATGTCCATGTCCATGTCCACGTCCATGTCCACGTCCACGTCCACGTCCATGTCCATGTCCACGTCCATGTCCACGTCCACGTCCACGTCCATGTTCACGTCCACGTCGACATCGACGTCCACGTCCACGTCGATGTCCACGTCCATGCCCACGTCCACGTCCACGTCCATGTCCACGTCCACGTCCACGTCCACGACCACGTCTACGTCCATGTCCATGTCCATGTCCACGTCCTCGTCCACGTCCACGTCCATGTCCATGTCCATGTCCATGTCCACGCCGACGTCGACGTCGACGTCCACGTCCACGTCCACGTCCACGACCACGTCCACGTCCACGACCACGTCCACGTCCATGTCCATGTCCACGTCCACGTCCACGTCCACGTCCACGTCCATGTCCATGTCCACGTCCATGTCCACGTCCACGTCCACGTCCATGTTCACGTCCTCGTCGACGTCCACGTCCACGTCCATGTCCACGTCCATGTCCACGTCCACGTCCACGTCCATGTCCACGTCCACGTCCACGTCCACGACCATGTCCACGTCCACGTCCACGTCCACGTCCATGTCCATGTCCACGTCCATGTCCACGTCCACGTCCACGTCCACTTCCATGTCCACGTCCATGTCCACGTCCACGTCCACGTCCACTTCCATGTCCACGTCCATGTCCACGTCCAGGTCCACGTCCACGACCATGTCCACGTCCACGTCCACGTCCACGTCCACGTCCATTTCCACGTCCACGTCCACGTCCACGTCCACGTCCATGTCCACGTCGACGTCCACGTCCATGTCCACGTCCACGTCCACGACCACGTCCACGTCTATGACCACGTCCACGTCCATGTCCATGTCCATGTCCACGTCCACGTCCACGTCCATGTCCACGTCCACGTCCATGTCCATGTCCACGTCCATGTCCACGTTCACGTCCATGTTCACGTCTACGTCGACGTCCACGTCCACGTCCACGTCCATGTCCACGTCCACGTCCACGTCCACTTCCATGTCCACGTCCATGTCCACGTCCACGTCCACGTCCATGTCCACGTCCACATCCACGTCCACGTCCACGTCCATGTCCACGTCCACGTCCACGTCCACGTCCATGTACACGTCCATGTCCAGGTCCACGTCCACGACCATGTCCACATCCACGTCCACGTCCACGTCCATGTCCACGTCCACGTCCATTTCCACGTCCAGGTCTACGTCCACGTCCACGTCCATGTCCACGTCCACGTCCACGTCCACGACCACGTCCATGTCCACGTCCACGTCCACGTCCACGACCACGTCCACGTCCACGACCACGACCACGACCACGTCCACGTCCACGACCACGTCCACGTCCATATCCATGTCCATGTCCATGTCCACGTCCACGTCCACGTCCACGTCCACGTCCATGTCCATGTCCACGTCCATGTCCACGTCCACGTCCACGTCCATTTTCACGTCCACGTCGACGTCCACGTCCATGTCCATGTCCACGTCCACGTCCACGTCCACGTCCACGACCAGGTCCACGTCCACGACCACGTCCACGTCCATGTCCATGTCCATTTCCACGTCCACGTCCACGTCCACGTCCATGTCCATGTCCACGTCCATGTCCACGTCCACGTCCACGTCCATGTTCACGTCCACGTCGACGTCCACGTCCACGTCCACGTCCATGTCCACGTCCACGTCCATGTCCACGTCCACGTCCACGTCCACGACCATGTCCACGTCCACGTCCACGTCCATGTCCATGTCCACGTCCATGTCCACGTCCACGTCCACGTCCACTTCCATGTCCACGTTCATGTCCACGTCCACGTCCACGTCCACGTCCACGTCTACGTCCACGTCCACGTCCACGTCCACGACCACGTCCACGTCGACGTCCACGTCCACGTCCACGTCCACGTCCACGTCCATGTCCACGTCCAGGTCCACGTCCACGACCAGGTCCACGTCCACGACCACGTCCACGTCCATGTCCATGTCCATGTCCACGTCCACGTCGACGTCCACGTCCATGTCCATGTCCACGTCCATGTCCACGTCCACGTCCACGTCCATGTCCACGTCCACGTCGACGTCCACGTCCACGTCCACGTCCATGTCCACGTCCACGTCCACGTCCATGTCCACGTCCACGTCCACGTCCACGACCATGTCCACGTCCACGTCCACGTCCACGTCCATGTCCATGTCCACGTCCATGTCCACGTCCACGTCCACGTCCACTTCAATGTCAACGTCCATGTCCACGTCCACGTCCACGTCCACGTCCACGTCTACGTCCACGTCCACGTCCACGTCCACGACCACGTCCACGTCGACGTCCACGTCCAAGTCCACGTCCACGTCCACGTCCATGTCCACGTCCAGGTCCACGTCCACGACCATGTCCACGTCCACGTCCACGTCCACGTCCACGTCCATTTCCACGTCCACGTCCACATCCACGTCCATGTCCACGTCCACGTCGACGTCGACGTCCACGTCCACGTCCACGTCCACGACCACGTCCACGTCCACGTCCACCACCACGTCCACGTCCACGTCCATGTCCATGTCCACGTCCACGTCCACGTCCACGTCCATGTCCACGTCCACGTCCATGTCCATGTCCACGTCCATGTCCACGTCCACGTCCACGTCCATGTTCACGTCCTTGTCGACGTCCACGTCCACGTCCACGTCCATGTCCACGTCCACGTCCACATCCACTTCCATGTCCACGTCCATGTCCACGTCCACGTCCACGTCTATGTCCATGTCCACGTCCACGTCCACGTCCACGTCCACGTCCACGTCCATGTCCACGTCCACGTTCACGTCCACGTCCATGTCCACGTCCACGTCCACAACCACGTCCACGTCCACGTCCACGTCCATGTCCATACCCATGTCCACGTCCATGTCCACGTCCATGTCCACGTCCACTTCCATGTCCACGTCCATGTCCACGTCCACGTCCACGTCCACGTCTACGTACACGTCCACGTCCACGTCTACGACCACGTCCACGTCGACGTGTACGTCCACGTCCACGTCCACGTCCACGTCCATGTCCACGACCACGACCACGACCACGTCCACTTCCACGTCCACGTCCACGACCATGTCCACGTCCACGTCCACGTCCACGTCCACGTCTATGTCCACATCCACGTCCACGTCCACGTCCACGTCCACGTCCACGACCATGTCCACGTCCATGTCCACGTCCATGTCCAGGTCCATGTCCACGACCATGTTCACGTCCACGTCCACGTCCACGACCATGTCCACGTCCACGTCCACGTCCATGTCCACATCCATGTCCACGTCCACGTCCACGTCCACGACCATGTCCACGTCCATGTCCACGTCCACGTCCATGTCCACGTCCATTCCACGTCCACGTCCACGTCAAGGTCCACATCCACGTCCACGTCCACATCCACGTCCACGTCCACGTCCACGTCCACGTCCATGTACACGTCCAGGTCCACGTCCACGACCGTGTCCACGTCCACGTCCACGTCCACGTCCATTTCCACGTCCACGTCCATATCCACGTCCATGTCCACGTCCACGTCGACGTCCACGTCCACGTCCACGTCCACGTCCACGTCCACGACCACGTCCACGTCCACGACCACGTCCACGTCCATGTCCATGTCCATGTCCACGTCCACGTCCACGTCCATGTCCACGTCCACGTCCATGTCCATGTCCACGTCCATGTCCACGTCCACGTCCACGTCCATGTTCACGTCCACGTCGACGTCCACGTCCACGTCTACGTCCATGTCCACGTCCACGTCCACGTCCACTTCCATGTCCACGTCCATGTCCACGTCCACGTCCACGTCCACGTCCATGTCCACGTCCACGTCCACGTCCACGTCCACGTCCAGGTTCACGTCCACGTTCACGTCCACGTCCATGTCCATGTCCACGTCCACGTCCACGTCCACGACCACGTCCACGTCCACGTCCATGTCCATGTCCATGTCCACGTCCATGTCCACGTCCATGTCCACGTCCACTTCCATGTCCACGTCCGTGTCCACGTCCACGTCCACGTCCACGTCTACGTCCACGTCCACGTCCACGTCTACGACCACGTCCACGTCGACGTGCACGTCCACGTCCACGTCCACGTCCATGCCCACGACCACGACCACGACCACGTCCACTTCCACATCCACGTCCACGACCATGTCCACGTCCACGTCCACGTCCACGTCCACGTCCATGTCCACATCCACGTCCACGTCCACGTCCACGTCCACGACTATGTCCACGTCCATGTCCACGTCCATGTCCAGGTCCATGTCCACGACCATGTCCACGTCCACGTCCACGTCCACGACCATGTCCACGTCCACGTCCACGTCCATGTCAACATCCACGTCCACGTCCACGTCCACGACCATGTCCACGTCCATGTCCACGTCCACGTCCATGTCCACGTCCATTCCACGTCCACGTCCACGTCAAGGTCCACATCCACGTCCACGTCCACGTCCACGTCCACGTCCACGTCCATGTCCACGTCCACGTCCACGACCACGTCCACGTCCACGTCCACGTCCACGTCCATGTCCACGTCCATGTCCACGTCCACGTCCACGTCCACGTCCACGTCCATGTCCATGTCCACGTCCACGTCCACGTCCACGTCCATGTCCACGTCCACGTCCACGTCCACGTCACGTCCACGTCCATGTCCACGTCCACGTCCACGTCCACGTCCACTTCCATGTCCATGTCCATGTCCACGTCCACGTCCATGTCCACGTCCACGTCCACGTCCATGTCCACGTCCACGTCCACGTCCACTTCCATGTCCACGTCCAGGTCCATGTCCACGTCCACGTCCACGTCCACAACCACGTCCACATCCACGTCCACGTCCACGTCCACGTCCATGTCCACGTCCATATCCAGGTCCACGTCCACGTCCACGTCCACGTCCATGTCCACGACCACGACCACGACCACATCCACTTCCACATCCACGTCCAGGACCATGTCCTAGTCCACGTCCACGTCCACGTCCACGTCCATGTCCACATCCACGTCCTTGCCACGTCCACGTCCACGTCCACGACCATGTCCACGTCCATGTCCACGTCCACGTCCAGGTCCACGTCCACGACCATGTCCACGTCCACGTCCACGTCCACATCCATGTCCACGTCCACGTCCATTTCCACGTCCACGTCCACGTCCACGTCCATGTCCACGTCGACGTCGACGTCCACGTCCACGTCCACGACCACGTCCACGTCCACGACCACGTCCACGTCCATGTCCATGTCCATGTCCACGTCCACGTCCACGTCCACGTCCACGTCCATGTCCATGTCCACGTCCATGTCCACGTCCACGTCCACGTCCATGTTCACGTCCACGTCGACGTCCACGTCCACGTCGACGTCCATGTCTACGTCCACGTCCACGTCCACGTCCATGTCCACGTCCACGTCCACGTCAACGACCATGTCCACGTCCACGTCCACGTCCACGTCCATGTCCATGTCCACGTCCATGTCCACGTCCACGTCCACTTCCATGTCCACGTCTATGTCCACGTCCACGTCCACGTCCACGTCTACGTCCACGTCCACGTCCACGACCACGTCCACGTCGACGTCCACGTCCACGTCCACGTCCACGTCCATGTCCACGACCACGACCACGACCACGTCCACTTCCACGTCCACGTCCACGACCATGTCCACGTCCACGTCCACGTCCACGTCCACGTCCATGTCCACATCCACGTCCACGTCCACGTCCACGACCATGTCCACGTCCATGTCCACGTCCACGTCCAGGTCCACATCCACGACCATGTCCACGTCCACGTCCACGTCCATGTCCACGTCCACGTCCATTTCCACGTCCACGTCCACGTCCCAGTCCATGTCCACGTCGACGTCGACGTCCACGTCCACGTCCACGTCCACGTCCATGACCACGTCCACGTCCACGTCCACGACCACGTCCACGTCCATGTCCACGTCCACGTCCACGTCCATGTCCATGTCCACGTCCATGTCCACGTCCACGTCCACGTCCATGTCCATGTCCACGTCCACGTCCATGTCCATGTCCATGTCCACGTCCATGTCCACGTCCACGTCCACGTCCATGTCCACGTCCATGTCCACGTCCACGTCCACGTCCACGTCCATATTCACGTCCACGTCGACGTCCACGTCCACGTCCATGTCCACGTCCACGTCCACGTCCACTTCCATGTCCACGTCCATGTCCACGTCCACGTCCATGTCCACGTCCACGTCCATGTCCACGTCCACGTCCACGACCACGTCCACGTCCACGTCCACGTCCATGTCCATGTCCATGTCCACGTCCATGTCCACGTCCACGTCCACATCCACTTCCATGTCCACGTCCATGTCCACGTCCACGTCCACGTCTACGTCCACGTCCACGTCGACGTCCATGTCCACGTCCACGTCCATGTCCACGTCCACGTCCACAACCACGTCCACGTCCACGTCCATGTCCACGTCCATGTCCACGTCCATGTCCACGTCCACGTCCACGTCCACGTCCAGGTCCACGTCCATGTCCACGTCCATGTCCACGTCCACGACCACGTCCACGTCCACGTCCACGTCCATGTCCACGTCCATGTCCAGGTCCACGTCCACGTCCACATCCACGTCCATGTCCATGTCCACGACCACGTCCACGTCGACGTGCACGTCCACGTCCACGTCCACGTCCACGTCCATGTCCAGTCCAGGTCCACGTCCACGTCCATGTCCACGTCCACGTCCACGTCCATGTCCACGTCCACTTCCATGTCCACGTCCATGTCCACGTCCACGTCCACGTCCACGTGCACGTCCACGTCCATGTCCACGTCCATGTCCACGTCCACGTCCACGTCCATGTCCATGTCCACGTCCACGTCCACGTCCACGTCCACGTCCATGTCCACGTCCACGTCCACGTCCACGACCACGTCCACGTCCACGTCCACGTCCATGTCCATGTCCACGTCCATGTCCACGTCCACGTCCACGTCCACTTCCATGTCCACGTCCATGTCCACGTCCACGTCCACGTCTACGTCCACGTCTACGTCCACGTCCACGTCCACGTCCATGACCACGTCTACGTGCACGTCCACATCCACGTCCACGTCCACGTCCACGTCCACGTCCAGGTCCACGACCACGACCACGACCACGTCCACGTCCACGTCCACAACCATGTCCACGTCCACGTCCACGTCCATGTCCATGTCCACGTCCACGTCCACGTCCACGTCCATGTCCACGTCCACGTCCACGTCCACGTCCACGTCCAAGACCATATCTACGTCCATGTCCACGTCCACGACCACGTCCACGACCATGTCCACGTCCACGTCCACGTCCATGTCCACGTCCACGTCCATGTCCACGTCCATGTCCACGTCCACGTCCACGTCGACGTCCACGTCCACGTCCACGACCATGTCCACGTCCACGTCCACGTCCATGTCCACGTCCACGTCCACGTCCACGTCCACGTCCACGACCATGTCCACGTCCATGTCCACGTCCACGTCCAGGTCCACGTCCACGACCATGTCCACGTCCACGTCCACGTCCACGTCCACGTCCACGTCCACGTCCACGCTCCTGGACCAGGCAAGCTCTTGGACCAGGCAAGGTCCTAGACCAGGCAAGCTCCAAGACAAGGCACGCTCGTGGACCATGCACGCTTCTGAACGAGGCAAGCTCTTGGACCAGGCAGGCTCGTGGACCAGGCAAGCTCCTGGACCACACAAGCTCCTTGACCAGGCAAGCTCCTAGACCAGGCAAGCTCTTGGACCAGGCTCGCTCGTAGTCCAGGCACGCTCCTGGACTAGGCACGCTCTTGGACCAGGCAAGCTCAAGGATCAGGCACGTCCCTGGACCAGGCAAGCTCGTGGACCAGGCAAGCTCCTAGACCAGGCAAGCTCTTGGACCACGCAAGCTCTTAGACCACGCAAGCTCCTGGACCAGGCACGCTCGTGGACCATGCACGCTCTTGGACTAGGCAAGCTCTTGGACCAGGCACGCTCCTGGAACAGTCAAGCTCTTGGACCAGGCAATCTCCTGGACCAGACAAGCTCTTGGACTAGGCAAGCTCCTAGACCACGCAAGCTTTTGAACCAGGCACGCTCCTGGACCATGCAAGCGATTAGATCTGGCAAGCTCTTGGACCAGGCAAGCTTCTGGACCAAGCAAACTCCTGGACTTGGCAAGCTCCTGGACCAAGCAAGTTCATGGACCAGGCAAGCTCTTGGACCAGGCACGCTCCTCGAACTGGCAAGCTCTTGGACCAGGCAAGCTCGTGGACCAGGCAAGCTCTTGGACCAGGATAGCTCTTAGACCAGGCAAGCTCCTGGACCAGGCACGCTCCTGGACCATGCAAGCTCCTAGACCAGGCAAGCTTCTGGACCAGGCAAACTCGTGGACCAGGCACGCTCTAGGACCAGGCAAGCTCCTGGACCAGGCAAGATCCTAGACCAGGCAAGCTCCTGGACAACCCAAGCTCTTGAACCAGGCAAGCTCCTAGACCAGGCAAGCTCCTGGACCAGGCAAGCTCCTAGACCAGGCAAGCTCTTGGACCAGGCAAGCTCCTGGACCACGCAAGCTCTTGGACCAGGCAAGCTCTTGGACCAGGCAAGCTCTTGGACCAGGCAAGCTCCTGGACCAGGCAAGCTCACGGACCAAGAAAGCTACTGGACAAGGCAAGGTCGTGGACCAGGCACGCTCGAGGAAAAAGCAAGTTTCTGGACCAGGCAAGCTCCTGGACCAGGCAAGCTCCTTGACCAGGACAGCTCCTCGACCAGGCAAGCTCCTGGACCAGGCACGCTCCTGGACCATGCAAGTTTCTGGACCAGGCAAACTCGTGGACCAGGCACGCTCCTGGACCAAGGAAGCTCCTAGACCAGGCAAGCTCCTAGAGTAGGCAAGCTCCTGGACCAGGTAAGCTCCCGGACCTCGCAAGCTCTTGGACCAGGCAAGCTCTTGGACGAGGCAAGCTCCTGGACAAGGCAGGCTCCTCGACCAGGCAAGCTCTTGGACCATGCAAGCTCTTGGACCAGGCAAGCTCTCGGACCAGGAACGCTCCTGGACCAGGCAAGCTCTTGGACCACGTAAGGTCCTAGACCAGGCAAGCTCCAAGACGAGGCACGCTCGTGGACCATGCACGCTCCTGAACCAGGCAAGCTCTTGGACCAGGCAGGCTCGTGGACCATGCAAGCTCCTGGACCAGGCAAGCTCGTGGACCAGGCACGCTCGTGGACCAGGCAAGCTCGTGGACCAGGCAAGCTGAAGACCAGGCAAGCTCGTGGACCAGGCAAGCTCGTGGACCAGGCAAGCTCGTGGACCAGGCAAGCTCGTGGACCAGGCAAGCTGGTGGACCAGGCAAGCTCGTGGACCAGGCAAGCTCGTGGACCAGGCACGCTTGTGGACCATGCACGCTCCTGGACCAGGCAAGCTCTTGGACCAGGCAGGCTCGTGGACCAGGCAAGCTCCTGGACCACACAAGCTTCTTGACCAGGCAAGCTACTGGACCGTGCAAGCTCCTGGACTAGGCTCGCTCGTAGACCAGGCACGCTCCTCGACCAGGCAATCTCGTGGACCAGGCAAACTCGTGGATCAGGCACGCTTCTGGACCAGGCAAACTAGTGGACCAGGCAAGCTCCTCAACCAGGCAAGCTCTTGGACCAAGCAAGCTCCTTGACCAAGCAAGCTCTTGGACTAGGCAAGCTCCTAGACCACGCAAGCTCGTGGATCAGGCAAGCCCCTGGACCAGGCAAGCTCCTGGACCAGGCAAGCTCTTGGACCAAGAAAGCTCCTGGACAAGGCAAGCTCGTGGACCAGGCACGCTCGTGGAAAAAGCAAGTTCCTGGACCAGGCAAGCTCCTGGACCAGGCAAGCTCCTGGACCAGGACAGCTCCTCGACCAGGCAAGCTCCTGGACCAGGCAAGCTCTTGGACCAAGAAAGCTCCTGGACAAGGCAAGCTCGTGGACCAGGCACGCTCGTGGAAAAAGCAAGTTCCTGGACCAGGCAAGCTCTTGGACCAGGCAAGCTCCTGGACCAGGACAGCTCCTCGACCTGGCAAGCTCCTGGACCAGGCACGCTCTTGGACCATGCAAGTTTCTGGACCAGGCAAACTCGTGGACCTGGCACGCTCCTGGACCAAGGAAGCTCCTAGACCAGGCAAGCTCCTAGAGTAGGCAAGCTCCTGGACCAGGCAAGCTCCTGGACCTCGCAAGCTCTTGGACCAGGCAAGCTCTTGGATGAGGCAAGCTCCTGGATGAGGCAAGCTCCTGGACCAGGCAAGCTCTTGGACCATGCAAGCTCTTGGACCAGGCAAGCTCTCGGACCAGGAACGCTCCAAGACCAGGCAAGCTCTTGGACCACGCGAGGTCCTAGACCAGGCAAGCTCCAAGACGAGGCACGCTCGTGGACCATGCACGCTCCTGAACCAGGCAAGCTCTTGGACTAGGCAGGCTCGTGGACCAGGCTAGCTCCTGGACCACACAAGCTCCTTGACCAGGCAAGCTAGTGGACCATGCAAGCTCCTGGACTAGGCTCGCTCGTAGACCAGGCACGCTCCTCGACCAGGCAAGCTCGTGGACCAGGCAAGCTCGTGGATCAGGCACGCTCCTGGACCAGGCAAGCTCCTCAACCAGGCAAGCTCTTCGACCAGGCAAGCTCCTGGACCAGGCAAGCTCTTGGACTAGGCAAGCTCCTAGACCACGCAAGCTCGTGGACCAGGCAAGCTCCTGGACCAGGCAAGCTCCTGGACCAGGCAAGCTCTTGGACCAAGAAAGCTCCCGGACAAGGCAAGCTCCAGGACCAGGCACGCTCGTGAAACAGGCAAGCTCCTGGACCAGGCAAGCTCTTGGACCAGGCAAGCTCCTGGACCAGGCAAGCTCCTGGACCAGGATAGCTCCTGGACCAGGCAAGCTCCTGGACCAGGCACGCTCCTGGACCATGCAAGCTCCTAGACCAGGCAAGCTCCTGGACCAAGCAAGTTTCTGGACCAGGCGAACTCGTGGACCCGGCACGGTCCTGGACCAGGCAAGCTCCTGGACCAGGAAAGCTCCTAGACCAAGCAAGCTCGTGGACCACGCAAGCTCCTAGACCACGCAAGCTCTTGGACCAGGCACGCTCCTGGACCAGGCAAGCTCTTGGACCGGGCAGGCTTCTGGACCAAGCAAGCTTTTGGACCAGGCAAGGTCCTGGACGAGGCACGCTCGTGGACCATGCACGCTCTTGACCAGGCAAGCTCTTGGACCAGGCAGGCTCGTCGACCAGGCAAGCTCCTGGACCAGGCAAGCTCCCGGACCAGGCAAGCTCCTTGACCAGGCAAGCTCCTGGACCAGGCAAGCTCCTGGACTAGGCTCGCTCGTAGACCAGGCATGCTCCTGGACCAGGCAGGCTCTTGGACCAGGCAAGCTCGTGGATCGACACGCTCCTGGACCAGGCAAGCTCGTGGACCAGGCAAGCTCCTGGACCAGGCAAGCTCTTGCACCAGGCAAGCTCGTGGACTAGGCAAGCTTCTGGACCAGGCAAGCTCCTGGACCAGGCAAGCTCATGGACCAGGCAAGCTCCTGGACCAGGCAAGCTCCAGGACCTGGCAAGCTCCTGGACTAGGCAAGCTCTCGGACCAGGCAAGCTCCTAGATCAGGCAAGATCCTCGACCAAGCAAGCTCCTGGACGAGGCAAGCTCGTGGACTAGGCAAGCTCCTAGACCAGGCAAGTTCCTAGACCAGGCAAGCTCTTGAACTAGGCAAGCTCCTAGACCAGGCAAGCTCCTAGACCAGGCAAGCTCCTTAACTAGGCAAGCTCCTGGACCAGGCAAGTTTATCGACCAGGCAAGCTATTGGACCAGGCACGCTCCTCGAACAGGCAAGCTCCTGGACCAGGCAAGCTCTGGGACCAGGCAAGCTCTTGGACCAGGATAGCTCCAGGACGAGGCAAGCTCCTGGACCAGGCACGCTCCTGGACCATGCAAGCTCCTAGACCAGGCAAACTTCTGGACCAGGCAAACTCGTGGACCAGGCACGCTCTAGGACCAGGCAAGCTCCTGGACCAAGCAAGATCCTAGACCAGGCAAGCTCCTGGACAACCCAAGCTCTTGGACCACGCAAGCTCCTAGACAAGGCAAGCTCCTGGACTAGGTAAGCTCCTAGACCAGGCAAGCTCTTGGACCAGGCAAGCTCCTGAACCACGCAAGCTCTTGGACCAGGCAAGCTCTTGGACGAGGCAAGATCTTGGACCAGGCAAGCTCCTGGACCAGGCAAGCTCACGGACCAAGAAAGCTCCTGGACCAGGCACGCTCGTGGAAAAGGCAAGTTCCTAGACCAGGCAAGCTCCTTGACCAGGCACCCTCGTGGAAAAGGCAAGTTCCTAGACCAGGCAAGCTCCTGGACCAGGCAAGCTCCTGGACCAGGATAGCTCCTCGACCAGGCAAGCTCCTGGACGAGGCACGCTCCTGGACCATGCAAGCTCCTAGACCAGGCAAGCTCCTGGACCACACAAGCTACTTGACCAGGCAAGCTACTGGACCATGCAAGCTCCTGGACTAGGCTCCCTCGTAGACCAGGCACGCTCCTCGACAAGGCAAGCTCGTGGACCAGGCAAGCTCGTGGATCAGGCACGCTCCTGGACCAGGCAAACTAGTGGACCAGGCAAGCTCCTCGACCAGGCAAGCTCTTGGACCAGGCAAGCTCCTGGACCAGGCAAGCTCTTCGACTAGGCAAGCTCCTAGACCACGCAAGCTCGTGGACCAGGCAAGCTCTTGGACCACGCAAGCTCCTGGACCAGGCAAGCTCTTGGACCTGGCAAGCTCCTCGACGAGGCAAGCTCTTGGACCTGGCAAGCTCCTGGACCAGGCAAGCTCCTGGACTAGGCAAGCTCCTAGACCACGCAAGCTCGTGAACCAGGCAAGCTCCTGGACCAGGCAAGCTCCTAGACCGGGCAAGCTCTTGGAACAATAAAGCTCCTGGACAAGGCAAGCTCCTGAACCAGGCACCCTTGTGGAACAGGCAAGCTCTTGGACCAGGCAAGCTCCTGGACCAGGCACGCTCCTGGACCATGCAATTCCTAGACCAGGCAAGCTCCTGGACCAAGCAAGATTCTGGACCAGGCAAACTCGTGGACCAGGCACGCTCCTGGACCAGGCAAGCTCCTGGACCATGCTCGCTCGTAGACTAGGCACGCTCCTGGACCAGGCACGCTCTTGGACCAGGCAAGCTCGTGGATCGACACGCTCCTCAACCAGGCAAGCTCGTGGACCAGGCAAGCTCCTCGACCAGGCAAGCTATTGCACCAGGCAAGCTCCTGGACCAGGCAAGCTCCTGGACCAGGCAAGCTCCTGGACCAGGCAAGCTCTTGGACTAGGCAAGCT